GGCATTCTAAAAGGATTACAGCCAGGAGGTGGGTGAGCCAGGGGGCAGAGGTGTGCCTGAGGCTTTCTAAACGTGGGCCAGAATCAGGAACCTTGCGTAAGTGGAAAAGGTGCTGTGTCAGACAAAGAATCCACGTAGTCACAATCACGCTTTATTCAACAGTATGAAAATCTGTGCTTTTGGCTTTAAGTCTTGCAAAAATGGGTGGTAAGTCAAAGACAGATTCGCTGGCTGTCCTCTGGGTATGTGTGGGTATGTGTGAATAAGGATCTGTGTCTTAAGAGATTTTTGCTTTCTGTAGTCATTATAGTCCCCACGTGAATTAATATACAAAGTCTTCTTCTTGCAACAACACTAAAACCTGAATTAAATATTCCCTGAGTCTAACATTCTCTTCTTCTGCCTCCCTGCCTCCCTCCTTCCCTCCCATAAGGCCACTCCTCAGTCCCCAGCACTCATCATGTTGAAGAACCTAGAAATGAACGCTGACTCCTCCATCCTTGGACCAATGCCCTCCGGCTAAGGAGCTTCCTGGGGGATGTGTGGGGGGGAGGTCTTGGCAGTTTCTCTTCAGAGTTGACTTGTAGATACCTGGAAAGGAAACATGATCATCTTAAGTGCTGATCTGCTCTCCCACCAACCACTTAAGGAGGTAAACAGTCTGCTTCTACTGAATGATACTTTATGCAGCATCACTGGCCTCTGCTGAGGGAGGTGATGTGAAACTGGCTGCCGGGATGACTGTGAGGACTTGTTGCAGATAACTGCTCATTGCACCATTCGCCATGGCTTTACGATGATTCACGGGAGAAATTTCCTTTTTATCTGAGTAGCATGAGCTGTTCTCTTAAGGAATGGGCATCATTAATCAGGTGACTGGTCGGGCTTTTCTCTTCTTTCTGGATGTTAGAAATTCTGGAACCAATTTTCTGAACTATCCTTAGTAAGCTCTTTTTTTTTTGAGTTGGAGTCTCACTCTGTCACCCAGGCCGGAGGGCAGTGGCTACCGCAGCCTCAACCTGCTGCACTCAGGCAATCCTTCCACATCAGCCTTCCAAGTAGCTAGAATTACAGGCATGCGTCACCATGCCAGGCTAATTTTTTAATTTATTGTAGAGACGAAGTCTCACCAAGTTGCCAGGGCTGGTCTCACACCCATAAGCTCAGGCAGTCCCCTCACCGTGGCCTCCCAAAGTGCTGGGATTATAGGCAGGAGCCACCGCGTCCAGCCAGTAAGCCTATTTTATAGAACACATTTTTGGTACTGAGGCTCCATTTTATGTCACTGCCCTGTCTCATACACCTCTCAGTTATTTTTGTGTAGGCGTGTGCATATGTAAGTACATTATATCTATACCTATATACAGACATGGTCTGTACAATGATGTTTTTGGTCAACAATGGACTGTATATACAACAGTGGTCCTATAAAATTATAATGGTAGCTGGGCCTAGGGTACATGCCTATAGTCCCAGCTACTTGGGAGGCTGAGGCAGAAGGATGCTTGAGCCTGGGAGTTCGGGGCTGTAATGAACTATGATTGCACCACTACACTCTAGCCTGGGCGACAGAGTAAGACCTCATGTCTATAAATAAATAAAGATGATAATGGAGCTAAAAAATTTCTATTGCCAGTGATATAGTAGCCATTGTAACATTATACTATCACGGTACAACACATTACTCAAACATTTGTGGTGATGTTGGTGTGAGCTTGCCTACTGCGTTACCAGTTGTATAAGAGTACAGCACAGCCGGGCTCAGTGGCTCAGCCAGTAATCCCGCGCCTTTGGGAGGCTGAGGTGAGTGGA